TAGATAATCTATTTCTTCTTCTTCTATGTCCATCTCCTCAATATGATATGACTGAATATTATTTAAATTTTCTTCTTGAATATATTCTACATTAAAAGGTTCTGTAAATTTAATTTCCGCTGGAGTTTCTCCTAGGTTACTTATCATAGTAAAAGCGTTGTGATCATTGATATCAATTAAACATGAAGGAATTTCTGCATTTCCGATTTTTGTATAATTTAGTATCGCTGTACCAGATCTTCTGTTAACTGGGACTTTAACTTTTTGAGCAGTTCTTGGTGGTATTATTATTTTACTTGGTTTAAAATATTTTTGTTTCGTTGGGTCTTGTGATGCAAAAAATATGGGAAGAGAAATGGTTGGGGTCTTTAGTTTTGAATCTTTAAAATCTATAAGAGCATTGATTTGTGATAAAAAGTTGCATCCTAGCAAACCATCAAAATTAGGAGAGAAATCGAAAAGATAAAATTTATGACAATTTGGATTTCTGAAACTAGGGAATATTGGAATGGTCATAGTTTCATTATGAATTGAAGTAGCGTGTGCAGTATGCACAGCAAATTGCTCAGGAATTATATATTTCGAAAAAAGTTCTTTTGCGAGGTCAGGTCTAAAAAAGCTTTGTTCTGATCCCGTATCTATTAAAAATGTAGCATTAATTTCTGGAATTATTATTTTAGGTAATTTATCATAGTGTTTAATCGCATTAAAATTTATGTGGCTGTACTTGTTGAGGCTTGGACTGGAAAATTTTCATCATTATATAATCTTTCATTTTCATTATATCTTCTTAAATTATTATTATTATATATTCTTTCATTATCATTATATCTTTCTTCTCTTACATTATTACTCGTTATTTTATGATTAAATAAATTATTTGGAGAACGTCTATCATTTCTAAAGTTACTTCGTAAACTAAAGTTATTGGAACTTGTATCCATTGGCTCAGGTCGCATTGAATTTCTGCTTTGACTTTGGGTAGGAATAGATGGCTGATATCTAGGTATATTTGGAAATTGTCTTGGAAATTGGTTACTATTATTATTATTAAAACCATTGTTCGAAAAACTTGGACGATTTTGAAAATTATTATTTGGATTTTGGAAAAAATTATTATTTCTGTATTGACTAGAACTTTGGGAAGAATGTCGATTTTGAAAATTATTATAATTAGAAAAATTCTGATTTCGAGAAAAATTTCTATTTGGAAATGAAGAGTGTTGGGAATTAATATTTGAATTTCTATTAGAATTATTATAGGATCGAGAATTATTAAAATTTGAGGGTCTCGTATTATTACTTCGATTTTTGAAAGAAATAAAATTTTCTTCTTCTTTAGCGAAAGCCATTGCTTGCTCAATCGAATCAGGATTCTTTAATCTGACTACTAACTGCATGTGATAATTAAGGCCATTTATAAAAGTTTTAAGACAAAGATCTTCATATTGTTGAATTTTTAATATTTTTACATTTAATTGGTCATTAGACATATTAATTTTTGAACAAAGAATGCTTCTAGCATCCTGTATTCTTAACCCAAAATTTTGTGCATTTTCATTTCTTTCTGGTTTCATTGAAATTATATCTTGTACTAAACAATCAATTGATCTCTGATCAGAAAATGTTACTATAAGAAAATCTTTTACTTTTGCCCAAGAATCAAGTTCTGTTCTTGATGCAATAAGGTCTGCTGCTCTGTCAGTTAATTTACTTAAAACAGTATCAAATAGACAAACATTTATCGGATTATTTGCATCTCTATTACTATGATTATTTAAGAAATTTTCACATGATTTAATAAATCTATTTAATTGTTTCGGATTGCCATCAAAATTAGGAATATTATCAGCTTGATACTTAATTAATTGAAAATTAGGTTGAGTCATTTCGTTAAATGTTAAGTTTACTAAATTATCTAAAATATCCTCCACCGTGAATCAAAAATATATAATATATACGTAAAAATATGGATATTGGTAAAATAGGAAACACTTACATGAATATTTTCATTTTCTATAGACTTCAGACTATGTTTGTTCCTCCGTCTGCACCAATAGGATTCTGGACGATGCTTGTTCCTTCTCCCTGGTCTTGGCTTCTCCAATAGGTTGTGGACGATGCTTGTTCCTCACCCTGGACGTTTGGCTGTTACCGTACCCGAAAGCTGGATCTTTTCCGTAAATCTTTAAAAAGAAAAATTGTACGCGAAATTCGGCAAGGCTAACACGAACACTTGTACAACTTCGAAAAATCCTACTGACTGCGCCAGTTACGAAAGTCAAAACCGAAAACGGATTTTTAAAAAATTTTATTTTCGTAACAAAATTTATTTTTGAGAACGTACAGGTATGGTAACAACTACAAAACAAAAAGCTCTTAATCTAATTAAACACTGGTATATATAGTCTTTCTATATGTAAAAAAAACACAGAAGTTAAAACACTTCACAAATGTGTATTTAGGTATAAAACAAAACAAACAATTTAAAACTTTTTAAACAAGTGTCGTCACATTTAAAGTTCTGGCAGAACGTTTTCGATCACTACGGATCATCTTCAGTGCCTAGTATTTGTTGCTAACTATATAAATATGGTGTCTATAAGACTTCCATGTTTGAGTTGGTAAAGTGTCACATTTTACATTAGGTAATGTTGATACTGTAGGTCGATGACAATGGATGTATTTAAAATTTAAAATTTTTTACTTTAGGGACTACATGTCTCCTAAGCTCGAGTACTTGCACGTTGTCAGTTGAAGCGACGACACAGACCAAATGGCTGATGTCACAGGAGATAACTTAAAGACAGCTAAACTTGACAGGATTTCAGTATGTTCCGAAATTAATGTAATTTTTAATTTGTGAAATTATAAAATTTGTTTACTTGTAGTAATGAATAATAACTTATTAATGAACCTGACTTTAACAATTAGATTTGTTTATGATAAAATTTATTGCCTAAGGCAATAAATTTTATCATAAACAAATCTAATTGTTAAAGTCAGGTTCATTAATAATTATTATTCATTACTACAAGTAAACAAATTTTATAATTTCACAAATTAAAAATTACATTAATTTCGGAACATACTGAAATCCTGTCAAGTTTAGCTGTCTTTAAGTTATCTCCTTTGACATCAGCCATTTGGTCTGTGTCGTCGCTTCAACTGACAACGTGCAAGTACTCGAGCTTAGGAGACATGTAGTCCCTAAAGTAAAAAATTTTAAATTTTAAATACATCCATTGTCATCGACCTACAGTATCAACTTTACCTAATGTAAAATGTGACACTTTACCAACTCAAACATGGAAGTCTTATAGACACCATATTTATATAGTTAGCAACAAATACTAGGCACTGAAGATGATCCGTAGTGATCGAAAACGTTCTGCCAGAACTTTAAATGTGACGACACTTGTTTAAAAAGTTTTAAATTGTTTGTTTTGTTTTATACCTAAATACACATTTGTGAAGTGTTTTAACTTCTGTGTTTTTTTAAACGATGGTATACAGCCAATTACGGGGTTTTTCCCATTAATTTTTTTTACTTTCTATATGTCGTCACACATTGGATAATCCAGGGACGTAACTGCAGTGTTTAATTAGATTAAGAGCTTTTTGTTTTGTAGTTGTTACCATACCTGTACGTTCTCAAAAATAAATTTTGTTACGAAAATAAAATTTTTTAAAAATCCGTTTTCGGTTTTGACATTCGTAACTATAATGGAGTTAATAAATTAACAAATAAATATTTCTTTAAAAGCTTACACTTCCTATGAGTAATACTTATGAGTAATACTCCTAACTTCTTTAATAAGAGGGTATTGAAAATTCGTTAAAGTAGCACATAACTGAAATATCACGGTTATTTGTGACATGTAAAAATTTGGAATTTGCTGCAATATATTGTAATTCTTTATTCTTCGGATCGCCCTCTGAACATGTATCCCAGCTTTTGCTATGGTTTCTGTTTCACACACCTGTGTCTCTGTAAACTCTGTCTTTTGCTAAAAAAAGTATTCCTATTATATTAAAATATTCATTTAAATCCGATTTTAAGCTTACCGTTTTTCTGGAGTGGAGAACACAAACTTTCTCTCTCTGTTATGCTCAAAAATTGTAGATCCATTTTTCTTATCTTGGTCCACAAAATGAAAACTACAAACAAACGAGTACTTAGATGGTTCTCTAACTTGCCTCCTGAAAACGGACCAAAATAAAGTTATTAATTTTAGCCTAACATACAAATAGCACAACTATATTTTAAATTATCTTTAAAAATTATCACAGATACATAGTATAAATCTGAAAAGACAATCACAGAATATTTAAAGTATAAGCAATATTAAAACAAAACTCCTTTTACCTCATGAGATTGATCCACTTCTGCTTCTCTGAAATTTTTGAAGGAAATACAAACAACTATAAAAACATAAAATAACAGTCCTTTCCTTATAAAGAAAATATCTTCAGTACATTTGGGATAAAATTATTGGCACTTAAAAAAATAAAACAAATTTAAATAATATTTAAACTTTGTAAATAAATTAAAAGATTTATTGATTATTGTTGAAATAATCTGAACAAAATACCTTGAAATAAAGAAAAAATAATTAAAGTTTTAATCCAACACAATATACCCTCAAAATATGAACTTTGAGAGTAAATATCTTAATACTTTGATACTCTTACCTCACAAATTCATGAACAATCTATAAAACCAATCGTACAGAATGGATATATGAAAGCGAAAATCCTTATTAATTTTTTTAAATGTTAAAAAAAAATCAACGTTATCAACGTCTTATGGGAGAAACACATGTAAACGAGATTTGTTTGGAAAGGTTTTCAAAATTCCCACCCATTGTGACGTCAGGACTAGATATAGTAAAATATATCGCCGCTTATCTGGTCCGCTAGTAATAAAGTTACCAGCATCTAATTGCAAAGCGGTCTTTTGAAGTGTAAAATATTGTTTACTTTAAATATGAGATTACCTCTACTGTTATTTCTCCCATTATAGTACTTTTATGCATAACATATAGTTCGGAAGGAAATGAGCCCATACATCTTGGTACAACTCGCCCGAAATACTTTGTAAGCTTAATGATATTTGTGGTTGATGGTACAGCCATAACGCAATAATCTCGCTCATGAAAACATTCAAAAGCGGCTTCAAATAGCATTATTAATCCATATTGATGTTGGGGAAGACACGCAGCTACTTCTAACGAAAAAGCGTTTTCTTCTCCTTTAAATTCTGGAATTTTCGGTGCCATACCCTTTGACGCTGAATCTAAAATTTTTTTTTTATTTTACAAATAGTATTATAAATAATATTATAAATGATACAATAATACAATATCATAAATGATACAATGTAGCAATACCGCTTAATACGTGAGTACCAACAATTACAACTTTGTAATTAATCTATGTAGACTAGAGACATTAAGCAATTAATAAGATAATCCATATATGAATTGATATGAATGATATGCAAGCATATGATATCAAAAACACATTACACATTGATAATTTTAGATTTTAACGCCAAATTGGGATTCAAACAAGATGATGCAGAATCTGCTATGGGAAACTTTGGATTTGGTGAGAGAAATGAGAGAGGTAAGAGGCTTCTTGACTTCTTACATCAGGAAAATCTCTTTGTGATGAACTTATTCTTCGAAAAGAAACCCCAACGTAAGTGGACATGGAAGAGTCCGAACCAAAGAACAAAAAATGAGATTGATTTACCATAAAATCAAATCGGAAAGATATTGTTCAGGATGTAACCGTATTGAATAAATTTGCAACAGGGAGTGACCATAGACTAATTAGAGCAAAAACCACTTTTAACACTGAAGTTGAAAGAACAAAAATGGTCCTCAAAAAGAAAAGTGGAAGGTGGATGTTCCCAGAAGATATAACACTTTACACTTTACGAAGAAAATATTAAGACTAGTTTGGATACACACAACTTAGAGAATATCAGCATCAATAAAATGAATAATAATATTACTCAAATATTGAAAGAAACTGAAAAGAAATACTGTCCTCGTCCTGAAAATAATAACAAAAAATTAAGCCACAACACAAAACATCTTCTAGAGGAAAGAAAAAACTTAGGGAAAATCAGGATCATAACCAAAATGAACTAAGAATTTTGAATAAGAAAATTAAAAAGGGACTTAGAAAAGATCTGAGACGATACAATACGATGGAAATAACTAGAGTAATAGAAGAAAACAAAAGCTTGGAAGTACTCAAACAAAGCATGTCCATTGGAAGAAAAAACGTCCACAAATTAAGAAATCAATAGGGGCAAATCATTGAGGATAGAGTTCAAATTATGAACACGATAGAGAGTTTTTATAGACAACTATACAAAGAACAGCAATGTAACCGGAGTGGATCATTACCAAAGATAATTAATCAGAGATCTGAAATTTTACCGGACGTACCACCCAATGAAATTCGAAGGTCAGTGCAAGAAATGAAAAACAATAAGTCCCCCGGAGGCGATGAAATAGTGGCAGATGCCTTGAAAGTGGCTGGAAAAATATTATGGCAGGTCCTTGCCAAACTATTCACTAGATGTTTGCAGGAAGCAATAACACCAACCCAGTGGTATAACGCAGAAATTATCATACTTTATAAAAAAGGGAATGCTACCGATATACCGGAATAAGTCTACTTTCACATATTTATAAACTATTTACAAAAATAATTACGAAACGACTAGAAAATAAATTGGAATTTTATCAGCCCATAGAACAGGCGGGTACTGGTAATAAAAAATCTTATAGAAAAATGCACTGAATATAATAAACCATTAGCTTTAATATTTGTCGACTATGAAAAGGCATTCGACACCGTAAATCAACAAAAACTATTGGAAGCCTTGACAGAATGCCGGATTGACTATCGGTATATAAATATAATTAAACACATATACCAAAACGTAACAGCCAGTGTTAGAGTGGGTGATCGTCAAACCCAGAAATTCCCGATACAACGTAGAGTACGCCAGGGGGACACCATATCGCCGAAACTGTTCACTACGCTTTTGGAATATATATGTAAAAGGGCAAAACTGACCGACAAGGGCATAAATATAAACGGAGAAAAGCTTAGCCATCTAAGGTTTGCAGATGATATTGTACTAATAGCTGATAGGATAGATGAGGCCAAAGAACTTTTAAATCAGCTCTACCTATCCTCACTAGAAGGGGGATTGAAAATAAATATATCTAAAACCCAGATGATGACAAATCGTGTAGTCAGTGAAGATATATGCGTAGGGACAAGATCCATAGACCAGGTAATGGCCTATAAATACCTAGATCATGAGATCCGCATAGGAAAAGATAACCAAACCGTTGAGCTTCTCCGTCGTATAAGACTGACTTGGGCAGCCTTCGGCAAGCTGAACCATATTTTCAAATCGTCTGATATACCAATAAGTCTTAAAAGAAAAACCTTGTGTTTTGCCAGTGTTGACTTACGGTGCGGAAACGTTGACCATGACAAGGAGAACAGTTCAAAAGATCCGTGTGTGTAAAAAGGCGATGGAACGTGCTATGTTGGGCGTTTCACTACGAGACAAGATCCCAAATCGCCAGCTACGACAAAGAACAGGAGTGGCTGATGCAGTAGAGAGAGTAGCAACACTGAAATGGAATTGGGCAGGTCACGTGGCTCGAATGACAAATAACAGATGGACAAAGCGGATACTGGAATGGAGACCAAGAGATGATGCCTACCGAAGTCGTCCACCAACACGTTGGACTGAAAAATTATAAGGGAGATCTATGTCTATCAGTGGATAAGCGAAGATTGAATGATGATATGAAAGTCATTGAAGACAGTAAAAATTACAGAGGAGAGGATAAAAATTTAGACGACTTCCTAGTAAAAGTAAAATTTTTATGATAATGATATAAACATACTAGGAAAAATAGCTAGCAGGAGAAATGATATCTTGGTATACGATTTTAGAACGAGGAGATTAGAAAAAAAATCACAAGTAGAGTGGACAGTATCAGGACAGAAAGAAGCACAATATATAGACAGTAGTTGGGAACGACTCAGAAAAACGATTCAACAAGCAGCCGAGTTAGCACTACTAAAACCTTTGCCAAGACGAAAAAATATTGGTATGATAATGGTTGTAAGAAGGCGATTAAGGAGACGAATATTGCCAGTATCAATAGCATAACCAAGAATAAGTTGTACAATAGAGAACTATATGCTGAAAAAAAAGGAGGACAAAGAAAATATACAGAACAAGGAAAATGTACCTGGAAGAAAAATTAAATAATATTAGAAAATATTTTGTAAATAACAGTCAGGAATTTCTATCAAGAAATGAAAAGAGAACGAGGTTAATATAAAACCCCACCGAAATAGTCTAAAGATGAGGACGGTTATTTAGTAGGAGGAATAGATGAAAAACAAATATTTCTTCAAAAACGTAAAAATCGTTATAAGAAGAAAACTTAGACAAAGAACCGCATCTTACAGTCCTAGATCCTTTTACTATAAACCATTTAAAAGAAAATTAATTTATCTTTAGACTTAATGTAATGCATAAACTGTAATGCGTAGAAAAAAGTTATAGAACAATGTTTGCGAAAAAACTGGGAAAATCGTTAGAAGTAGAAAACTTAAACTTAAACATAAAAATAGTTCTAGAACCTTTTATTATAGACAATTTTCAAGATAATTAATTTTTATTTTTAATAAATGTACCTACCACTTCATATACTTAAAACTGAGTAGACAAAAGTTCAGAACAATGTTGCAAAAAAAAACAGGGAAAATGGCCAAAAATAGCGAGTGGAGAACTTAAAAAAAAACGTATCAGGGATATTAGATATTTTAAATACTTTCACTAAACGTCATTTTAAAGACGAAAGATAAGATTTTTTTTTTAATAAAGCAATGCCTGTACCTATACCCCCATGGACGACATTTATGGAGTAACAAATAAAATCGCGTGTGTTCCTATTTTTTTACTTGGTTTTTTGAATATATTTTGACTTCACAAGATGATATTTTCATAGGAAATTGAATTTTAAATATCTTTTTTGTAATTAAGTCAACCGTTTATTTTTGAAATTTTATAGTCTTTTACAGATACAAATAAAAGGCAGATGTCGACTACAGTTTTTATTAAATCTTGCTCAAGTACTTTCGCTGTCACAGCATCTTTAAGGTATAGTAGATAGATACAAAAAAAAGGAAACTGTAGTTTCCAGCTGTTCTCCGTGCGTAGAGGTTTTCTCCCCGGCTCTGGAACTCAATTTTTGCAATGTATGTTACCTGAAGTCAAATTTAATTTAATACTGAACATCACAGTTTTTCAACAAGATGTATAATCTTTTATAACTATATGTAATTTAAAGGGTTTTTACACATGTATTTTTGGTGGCTCAGGCATTTTAATCTAGCGATTTTAAAACCTGATGATGGACTGTTTAGTCTGAAAACGTTTGTTTTTTTTTTGATGTAGCCCTTTTAAGGGTTTTTAAATAAATATACCCACTTACGAAGACGAACCTCTTTTTTGTGATACGTGGTATACAGCCAGCTACAGGAATTGTTTTCCTTGTGGATTTTAGATACAAAAAAGATATTACAACATTCTAAGAAAGTATAAAAGCAGAACATGGAGGGACTGTAAAGGAATTATCCATTTTCCATTGAAGTAGGTATGTAATAATACATCGCAAAATATTAATCCAATGGTGTTGGACTAGTTAAAAAGCAAGTCAAACGAGCAGCTTACAGTTTACCAACGAAAAAATATAAAACAATTATCTTTCGTTCTGGGGAAAAACAATGAGAGTCAAAATTATATTAATTTTCAGTTGTGGATGGTAACCTGTAGCTTAGTTCCAATAGTAAACGACTGTGGCATTGGTTTTGGGAATAATGCTGAGAGTCAAGAGATATTAACGGTTAAATAAAACAAGCAAAAGGGAAAAATTATGAGCGCAGTTGTCGCGGAGGGCAGAACGATGGTAGTCAGTCTACAGCTGTTATTCAACAGTATTGTTGGCTCTTGCCGTTAGTCACGTTTCGTTGCGTTGTGCGTTCACTTGTGTGTTTGAGGTTAAATTTGCTTTATTATTTGTTACTATTTGAGTATTGTTTCTTTATATTAGTTTGTTTACTCCAAATTATAGAGTTTGTAGGGGAAACGGACCAAGTGCCGAAAAAGTAGCTACAGTTAAGTAGACTTTCCGAAGTGAAGAAGAAACTATTGAAACAAAGTCATGAGGTAGGCCC